GAAATGTTTATTATCCTGCCATGGGAATTCTGGTTTGTAATATCTTCTGGTGTTACTTGAGCGCTGTCGCATCACCAGTCCACTTAAAGGCATCACAAATGGATCAAGCATGTCGGTTAAAAACTGTCGACCTCGTCAACGTATGTAAGTGACCCTTTCAGTACTTCTGCGCTGGATAGTTAATTTGTTGTTTGGAACCTTTGCAACACCTATACCCAATTATGGAGAGATTGTGCTTGTTTGCTTGATCCACAAGCGCAGTGAGATGAACAGGCGGTCTCGAGTCTCGGCCTTCAGGGCCGGAGTCACCTTGCGGGGTCGACCAGACGACTATCGGATGGGCAAAATCTGCAACCTCATCCGAAGTCGAACCCGTCTTTGAGCGACATGCAGCCAACGGTATGCCAACACAACCTCCCAGACTGCATGTATGCCGCGCAATCACACATAAACTCGTCGCCAATTGTTTCGCACTATTTGCCATCATTAGATGATCGTCGGGGCATCAGGGACACACAACTCCAATGCATTGAGCGGGGTAATCTTGCTGACGGCATCGCACAGGTTGAACATAACGGACGCAGTGCTTGCTGGGCGTTTACGGCTCGGTTTCCGCGCCAACAAAGCGCTGGGGCCGTTCATTCAACCAGTCGAGGGAATCTAAAATGCAGGTATTATTCGCGAGACAGGAAGTATTACTCAAAGCACGTACATACGTACACAATCATTTTGGTTTTGGTGTGATTCTCCATCCCAGAAAGATGACGCGTTGAACACATTGCGCCCACTAGCAAGTACACTGTACTTTGTGATTTTTCCATCATGTCAAAAGAAGTGTTTTGTCGAATGGTGTCGATTTTAAACGAAGCAATCCACAGCTTCGGCTTGCATTCGAACGGCATTGCGTCGGCAACAAAAATTCGAGGAAGCGCATGATACAGCACCACCACTGAAGTCACTACACATAGCTACAATTCGTATAAATGAAGGATTTTAGTACGAATAATTTCCATTTCAGTTCCAAATTGTCCAACTTTTGCGGGTAGGCACTTGTTGTGTGGCACTTTTGTCGTCCAACAGCAAGACTCTGGAACTGCCCTCGCCAACAAAGCGTACCCACAGAGTCATGCGCCACCCCGCTGTTGTCTCGTCCATCCATGCCTTTCGCTGGCACGACCCAAACATGTCTTCGGGCATGATTTTTCCAACGTAGAGTCCATACGACCTTCAGGCACACCTTTGAAGACAACCTTGGGCGGTGGCTTCTCGTTGGCGTCACAAAAGGTAGGTCGATACTGATCGGATGATAAAAATCTGTGTAAATTCAAAATTGAAGTAACAATTTAAATGCAAGTCGAGTTGTGGAAGTTTTTAAATGACTTGCACGATACTCTCGGAGAGGTTATACAGTGTGCAACAAAAAGGAAAGGACAAGGGGTAATTGAGGCTTTTCCGGAATGTTTCAATAGAAATTCAACATGTGAAGCTGCTATTTAAGCATTTGTTGTGCACAACGAGATGAACAATGAGCATAATCCAGAACCTTCAAAGTAGTGGTAGTTAAGGAGTTAGTGTCGAATATCAATTTGTTGTTGCGGCACATATGAAATGACTATAATCTTTTTTCTAGATAATGGTGACACAAGCAAGGCACGATATACATCCTTTGTAGCCGGGATATACTTGGTTTCGTAGGTACCAGCCAGGCGGTTGACACTGGCGCGTTGTGCAGGCACCGACTCGACGAAAGGCCACGTGCCTATCTTGCCGTCCCATCACGTGCTGGTTTTGTTGATGTATCTTGGGCACTCAACAGCGCTGAGGAACATAACCCGTGTAATGTACCTTTTGCTTTTACATGTTCGTTGTGGTTCGTGTTCCCCATGAGCCAAGCAGTACTTACGAGTGAACTTTGAAACTTAAAACCATTTATCGTCCAGATGCACGTAGTGTAGCATGTCCGACAGATGCATATCAGTCTTGGCCCTTGTCATGGCAAACTTGAGGCGACAGTATTTGTTTGCGCCCGTTAGCACTGGACGTATCGCATTGGATGTTGTCTGCGCCGGCACTCAACGCCAGCTACCGAACTCTCGTCGGTAGACTCGATGACAAATCCAAAAGTAACTTCATTCAATGCGGGCCGTGGGGCTTTGTGAGATGCCCATGGGAATAGCCCCTACCCTACTTCGCATTCACTCTGACTCACACACAATCCTGCACGTGAGACCAGAGCCGAGGTTAGACCGAGAACACTTCGCCCCTACAAAGGGTGGCCGCACATACGCTCAAGGTCCCCTACCATCTTGCGCACTCGGTCATCGTCGTTTTGAGCCGTCATCCAGCGGACAACGTTGGCTCCCAGGAAGACTCAATGTCTTCCAGTCCAAGCCACTTGACTTTCACTTGCCAGGTGCCGTCGTGGATACGGAAGTCTTCGAGCTGCTCGACATAAAATCCGTCGTCTCCAAATGCGATCTGCGCCGTCAGATCTTCGTCCAAGTCACGGCCGCCTTCACTATACATCCGTAGGCGGCAGACATGGTGCAACGACGTCGTGGCTGGTGGGATGAGCCGTTGAACTTCTATCAGGTGGTCTGAAACCACCTTAACAAAAACGATAAGGTCCGTTCCAGCGAAGTGTCAATTTTCCTAGATGCTGCGTCGCCCGTGCCACCAGTACAAAATCACCGAGCGCGAACTTCGCAAGTTGAGTGGATGGTTGTCGGTTACGGCGGTTGCGCGCCTTTGCACGTTTCGACGACGATGCGATTTCAGAGATCGTTTGTGCATCCTGATGAGCGCTTCAGCTAAGTTCTCCACGTGCTCTTCGCTGCGGCGTTGACCCAATCGTTTGTGGCCGGCCCTACATCACCCAGTCGAACGAGAGCCGCTAAAGGCGGTGACGCAGACAATGCCGTGAAGGCAGTCGTTGGTGCCACGCCACCGTGTCGGTCGGCAGGTGGTTGGTTGAGGGCTGACTGGACCATAGGCAGCAAACTCGGCCATTCAGAACTTTTCAGTCGCATTTCGCTGCACAAGTCTTCAACGTCCGCACAATGAGGTGGTTGACGACCTCAACAGTGTCATTCGCCTAAGGACAATGCGGGGTGACAAAGTGGTGATGCGCCCCCATCGATCGGCGCAACTTGTCCACGATGTCGCTTTTGAAATGGGAGCCACAGTCCGACACCCAGGTCTTCGGTACGCCGAACAGACTGAACCATTCCATCAGTGCTTGGGCCGTCGCCACAGCCGTCGCTGTGGCGCTTGCATGCAAGCGGACAAATCCGCTCATGTCGTCTTTGATCACCAAAACGTACATGTCGCCAGAGGCCGCGCGAGGGAGTGTAAGCCAATCGAAATAGATCAGTTCGTTTGGGGCGGTTGCATGCAGTGCCTCTCACCATGGTCGTGGCACAACGTCACCGTCGACTACCATACAATGCAAACACTCGCGAACAAAATCCGCAACGTCGCGCGCCAAACTGGACCATTCGAACATGGATGCCACCGATGCAGTTGTCACCTCAATGTGACGATGACCCGCAATGCCGGCGTGAGAAATCACGCATTGGACCTGCTGCAGCTGGGATCCAAATCTTTGACGACGTCATCACGAAACATTGCTTGACTTCGTCCCAGGTGGAACAGGCTTCACGGTCGGGTTGAGCACGCTGAATTTCCAGGATTTCGTAAACACAGGGCCACGCAAAATCTGTCGATTGCAGAGGCGACACCAGCGCCAACTTGGAAATTCGTGCTGCTTGCTCATCCAGGCGCGGGCTTCTCCATCGTCTGAGAAGATTGCCCACAAATTGTCGTCTCCAGACACACCCTCAATCACGTACGGAAACGTCGTTATCGTGAGATCCCAACGTTGTAGCTTGAGGGCCTGGTACTTGTCATACCCGTGCTCGATGCCAACGGGTTGAACATGTATGTACACAAGGCTGCGGTGGTCGGTAAACAGTCGGAAATTTCGCGGACGTATAAGGAGGTACTCCAGACGTTTACAGGACTCGATCACCGCGAATGCTTCCTTTTCCACGATCGGCCAGTGCTCGCTAGCGTATCGAAAGGCTCCGCTCAAAAACGCCAAAGGCTCGTGGCACTGCTCTGACGCAGGCAGCGCCAAATCATCGAACGGTACTTGCGTAGCGATTGCGCCCCAAAATTTCTCGCTTGAGTCAGTGTACAAGGCCACCATCTTCTCGGGATCAGGGTGGGCCAACAGAACCAAACGACGCAGCGTCAACTTGACGTGGTTAAAACACTTGAGGTGATCGTCGCACCATCCCACGGAACTGAGAAGTACTCGCGCGAGCGCCGTCTTTTTTCGTGAGTCGGAGGCTTTAGCAGCAATGTCCAGAAGTTTCGTCAGGGGGGCAACCAGTTAGGTGTATATTGGGATGTTCGCACGCATCCAGTTTGTTGCGCACAGGAATTGCTGTAATTCAGCTGCCGTCTGCGGTGGCATGAGGTTGCAAAGGCCTTGGACTCGGTCAGGAGCGTGTGCGACGCCGCTCTCGGAAATTTCTTTTCCACACCATATTGTCTTTGTCATGTAAAACGCACACTTGCCCGGATGCAACTTGAGGCCGTACGCTTGGCATATTCCTAGCACGCGTCGTAGCAGCAGCAGCAGTATATCTTCAGTTGTGGCGGCGTATCCCAACAGGTCGTCGAGCCAGCCCAGGACACAGTGCATCAACAAATACCCAAATAGCTCGTCGACAACACCTTGGCTGTAGGCTACAGCATCGGACTGTCCCATGAGGACACGCGTCGGTGTGACGACACCAAGCGGCGTCATGAAAGAGTAAAACTCCTCCGAGTCGGGGTGGAGGGGCAGTTGCCAATACCCATTCATTCAGTCCAACGTAAAAGAGACCTTCGAGCCTTGCAGAACCGACATCGCGACCGCAAGGTTGGGCAAGGATCACGTCATTAGCTCAGTGCATGCGTTGATTGGCCGCGAGTTGATCGTCATGCGGAGGTCACCTGGGGTATTCTTCGGAACGATTATTGGTGCTGCTGCCAGCGTGACCGGGTGCTGCGATAAACAAGACCAGCTTCTTCCAAATCCCCCACGTGCTGTTCCAAAAATGCCAGATGCGTCGGGGGATAACGTAGCAAGCCAGGCCAGACTTCACAGGCGTTGATCCCGGCTTCAAACGCACCTTGAGCGACTCGACTCTCACAGGGGGATCGCGACCGAAGGAGACACGAAACACATCTTCGAATTCCAATAGCATCGCTTGGAGCTCGCTCACGTTCTCGGGCGCCATACCTTCCGTAATGGCGGCGTCGACCTTGGACGCTAGGAGCGCTTTAATTTGCGCCGTGTCAGGCGATCCACTGAGGTCAGGTGTTGCGCAGCACATCCCTTCGTCCTCGTCGATGTCGTCGTCTACCTGGCCGAACCGCAGAGTCCGATGCATAGCCGTGCTCGGCACCACCGTTGACTCCTCCGAAATATCCCAGACAGCGTTTTTCTGTCGCGCGTTGTTGCGCAAACCTTGGTCGGTATATCCAAGGATCTTCATAACGGGTAAACCCAGCGTCAATTCGATTGCAGGAACCGTCTCATCGACCCATGCGCGCAGCCCGCGCAGCAACAGCGGACCATACGCAGTTTGAAACTGTACGCGTCCCAGGCAAACTTGTTTCGTCACATTGATTGGACGGCTGTCCTTTCCATAGGGCTGCAGGTTGATCGATCCCATCTCAAACACTTCCGATGACGCACCAGCAGCTAGCAGCGCCGACACAAGCCCGCCAGACGCCATCGTCAGATCTGCTCCAGAGTCTAGAAGTGATGCGCTCACTGGCACGACGCCGTCGACCACAGTAAGTAAAGTTTCTCGACCCGATGTAACGGTCAGGTTGTGAATCGTCGACAATCGACCATCTTGGGGCTTCTGTCCCTTCGTGGTGTCCCCGCGCCGTTGTGCCAGGTTTTGGCATGGCTCTTCAGCAGGGCTACTGCTTCGTCCTTGGTCACCGTAGGACAGTTCCAAACTCTATGGTCTGGTGACTTGCACTTCAGGCAACCACCTTGGGGGTAAACCCGGGCGTGTCGGTCGGCGTCGAGCTTGAGGTAACTGGCTGCCCCTTCGACAGGGGTACACCCGACCTTGCGCCGCCTTTGGCGCGTCGTAAGTGGCGCTCGGTTTCGATTCTTCTTCGTAACCAACGTAACGTTCGTGGCCGATTGCAAAGTCGCGCAGCCATCGCACAAAGCGATACACATCCTTTTTCAACGCCTTGTTCCATGGCTTGATGGCATCCACAATAGTCTTGACGATCGCAGCGCTCTCTTCCCCAATCACCCAATCTTGACGGTCGCGGCGTATGGCCCTGACATGCCGTCCAGCATGCGACCGATGTGCGAATCGGCGTCGGTGATGGACATGTCGAAAACTACCGCCGCCTTGATCCGTTTCTTCAAGGAGTCTAACGCTCGTGGGTCCACCTGGTACGCCAACATGAACCATGCGATCCATTCGTCTTCCGTTACATCCTCTGGATCCTTGTCCATGTCCCATTCAGCGATGCGTTGTTTCGTCGCAGGCTCGATACACGCGCGCACAGGCATAATAAACGGACGCAAGCCATTGGCTGTTAGTGCATTCGATTGGCTGATGTAGAAGTTGTACGCCGCCATGAACGTACGCTCTCCTTTGTAGATCCCTTGAACAAAGGACTCTTTGGCAAGGCAGGCGCGTTTTGCAGGAACCCGTCACCTTGACCCATATCGTCGTCTTCCTTTGACACAGCTGGGTCGACGGGCACCTTGCGTGTCTCGACAAACGGCTGCTTTGGAGATGACCATTCTTCGTCGATCGCGACAGGTTGACGCCGACCCTTGGGCGATCGAAACAAGCGTTCCACCCTTGCTCGTGCTCGGGGCCGGCTCCGACCGTCGACGTCGGCTTCACGTAGGGTAACGTCCGTACTAACTGACCGGTTCGAACGAGAGCGCGCCCGCGTAGATCCCGCTTCGTCATCGTCGCTCCCCGGTAGCTCCATGTCGAGTTGAAATCCAGCCCCACTCGTGGGGGCCTCCATGCTTCTTGCTTGCTAGCTTGTCCAAAGACAGCTTAAGAATTCTTTGTTGTCTGCGCCGGCACTCAACGCCAGCTACCGAACTCTCGTCGGTAGACTCGATGACAAATCCAAAAGTGACTTCGTTCAATGCGGGTCGTGGGGCATTGTGAGATGCCCCATGGGAATATCCCCTGCCCTACTTCGCATTTACTCTGACTCACACACAATCCTGCACGTGAGACCAGAACCGAGGTTAGACCGAGAACATTGGAGTGGACACGGAACAAGCCGAGATTCAAGTATCGAACCCACGACTTATTCCTTTTAAATGGTTAGATGAAGGTGCATATTCTGTCATTCCAGTGTTTTCAGATGTTGAACGAATATGTTCGTTGTGCAAGAGGCACCTGCAGCAGCTTGGCCTTAACTTGCTCGGTAGTGTAAGCTATTTTTCATACATATTTGTACCGTACTTGCACTTGGCATCGAAACCAACCTCGTCGATCTTCCATTGATAAAATCCAACGTCAAGTTGTAACTTAATATGGTAACTTTGTGACTGGCTACGCCGGTGCCCATGGCATGATGCGTATTCGTAGCTACAATTGCTGCACCTAGCCGTCGTCTTGACCGAGTTCGACGAGGCCAAACTCTTACTAAGCGACGTCGCGGCGCAGAGAAAAGAACAGCCCGTGGAAGGACGCGTCAACTTTTGGTCTCAGACCCAGTCAATATTTGGAAGAGGAGGTACGGACAGCGTGGCCGCCAAAAAGCGGATGGTGCCCGAGTGAGCCGTGGACAGCCGGTTGGCATGATGACGCGGGCGAGCATCGTGGCTCGGTGCCACGGAGTCGTCTTCATGCAATCGAACGTGTGGCGCCAGGTCGCCCGCGGCATTGCAGCGCCTTCTATCGTCAGATTTTATTACCACACGAGGTCGTGGTGACGAAGTTGAACAAACTGGTCAAGGTGGACCACCACGACATCAACGTCTATTTAGGCGTGTTCATGTACGTTGTCATGGCGATGCTGGTCCAGCTCGTCGGCCTTCGGTGTCGCCCCGTCTGCAGGACAGCCGCGACATGGTGGGGTCAGGATCGTGGCGGGATTCGTGTGTGACTCAACAAGGACGCGTTCAACCAGCTCGACTGAGGTGTGTTTCAGTGAGGGTCGATGCCACGCCGCCCGCGTTCATCGACAACAGGCATGACGAGAGCGGCATCTTCACGAGGTTTCCCACCGCTCAAACGTTCAAATTCGCTCGCTTCTAGGCATCGCTCCATTCCCCAACATTTTTGCACTTCCGACGCGTCGTTGAGTTCACGTACAAATTGTGGGCATTGAAGATACGTGCGCACTTGGTGGCGGCCTCGCAACACGAATGCCCATGCGTTTGGAGCTCGATTGCGACGCGGTACCAGTTAGACCGAAACTACGTCGTCATCCCGTCGAACAACTCACACACAGTGTCTCGTGCACAGTCTAGGCGTGCTCGTCGTGAAAGACGTGTTCGTGCATTCCAAGGGCAGGTAGGGGTGACGGTGACGACAGTGAGGATGGGGCGGAGCCGGACGCTATCGCGCGCGCCGGTGGGTCCATGCATGTCTTGAAGCGTCCTCGACGCACGTGGCACCGTTTGACGCGGCAGCACCTGCCCCGCGCGCCCGCCACCACTGACAAAGTCGCGACCCCAATGCACCTCAGCGACACCGTGTTTTATCCTTTTCGAAGCGACTCCTCTGTGGCGGGTCAGCCATCGTTTAAAACGAAATCACGTGGACTGCCCTGCCAACATCCGCATCGACCAACCGGGTGGAGCAACTGCAGTGAGGGAGACGATGCACGCCGACTTTAAACGAGTGACGAGTGATGCAAGGGCTTGGGAAAAACAAAGCAGTTCGACAACACGCTGCTGCGGTCGCACACGAAGCGCCATCGCTCCTAGTGCCAGTGCGCGAGTACTTGTCCGTGCTCATTTCCCCCATTGCCTCGAAAGGCCAAGCTAACAATTGCGCGGAAACTCCGCTTTCAACGCCGACTCGATCGCACAGGAGAGACAGCTCACGATGCGGACCTACGCGATGGAAGCTGCTTGCCCCCAACCGAGCCCGTGACGACTCGACCCTGGGAAAAGCTTGACGAGCAGACGGCGGTAACAAAAGACAGATGTGCCTCGAAGAAGCAACATCTACTGCACGAGAGCATCACGACCAAATTCCATCACTACCCCACACCTGAATGCTCGAGATCCATTCATGCAATTCACCTGCACCTACCGAACTCGAGCGCGTCTCGTCCGTTAGTCCCCTGATTGCGATGTGGCGAGGTAGGTGCGGTGGATCTTCGCCTGCCTCCAGACTCATCTCCAGCACCGCCAGATCTGGTGGTCACTCGCGTCCTCCGCATTTTCCGACCAGCAACTCGAAATGTACATCCGCTTGGTACATTAAACTTGGTGCATCGGTGGGACGGCGCGAGCTGTGTGCTACTCGGCATCATCCAGTTGGAGCGGCTGCACGCGCGGTGGGATGTTTTTTCGTCGGTTCGCGCCGTTGCAAGTTGGAACATTGCAAAAAGTCGACTCGCGGCAATGGGCGGCGTGGTACCCAAGGGCCGACGCAAGCTTCGCTGCGATTTTGGTCCCTTGAATCTGCAGGTTCAGCATGGACATACACCGAAGGAAGTTCTTGTAGAACTCGCAGTGGCCCTTGTGCGCGGAATCGTTGCATGGTTCGTCTGTCGATGGACACGTCGCGACGTGAATGAGAACGTCGTTCAGGTCCGACACCGTTGCATCCATCTATGCACACACAACACGTCAACTTGGCGTGGGACGTCTCCATGCAAAGGCACGAACGAAGCGCTCAAGCAGAACGGCTGAGGTCTTCTTGACGCAAGGGGGACAGAAAAACGACCCTTCCGGCACTGCGTGGAGACCAACGCAGTACGTGTGGTAAACTGGAAAACGTCGTCACGATGTGAGTGGATGCGAGGCAGTGCGGCACGTACCTTCGTCACACGAATCGCAAAACATGCTATCGCCAGCGTTGTCATTTCGGTGGCAAACGGCACAAGGTTTGTCCGATTCCTGCGAATTAGCAAGGTCATTCTATGACGTCGGAGGACGACGACGAACACTGGAACTTACGTCATCGATGTCATCGTCCGGGTCGGATACCTTTATCGCAACCGCGGGTGTTCGCGGGCGATCGCTGCCGTCGTTTTCGTATTCGCTCATCTCGTCCATCGGGTTCCAATATGTTTTGTGGAGTACATCCGAGTCTGTGCTTGACGACGACGATTCCAGATTCAACGGCACGGTCTTCTTGGGGCGCTACACCATCACGTAAGTCGCGGCGATCACAATGCGGGAGATCATACCGTGACTTCCTTCGCAGCTTCCTCGGCGAGTTTGAGCCGCGAAAGGATCTGGTAGCAAGCACCTTTCATCTCCTTGAGCCGCTTGTCCTTGTTGAATTCGGCATTCCAGTCGTACTCCGCCACCGCGGACATGGCGGCGATTTCAGCTTTGAACGTGTTCTCAAGTACGATCTGTCCTTACGTACGAGCGCACCTAAATGAGAAAAATGTATTTAAAATACTTTACAAGGATAGTGTTACAAGATAAACTTGATTCAAGTAGAGGACTCTATTTTAAATACCTTGCAACATGACCGGACTTGAGCGGGTGGGGGAATCCAGCATTTGCCAAGACACATTTGGAGCGCAACGTCCCCGCCGCCAATCCATTCCGCCGCCATGGTGAGCGGATGTTCGCGGAAGCAATCAGGATGAATGCTCATGGAATGATACGAATCTACTGTGTAGAACAAAGCAAGTGAAGAAGCCGCCGCCAATGCTGCCGGGCAGCAGGACTCCCAAGAACTCACCGTTTTCGTCCAGAGTTTGCTGGAGCAAATGGTATGCAACGCGACCCTTGCCATTTTGTTCGGAGCTCACACGGACTCTAGCAATCCCGATTTGCGCAAATGTCGGAAGCCATCATTGGTCGCATCGATGAAATGGGCAGCCGAATCGACGACTTGGAAAAGTCGATCGGTGAACTCCTGGAACAGGTACGAGATTCGCGTCAAAGGTCCTCCCCGTCAAACTCACACATGCGTGCCTTGGCCAGACAAACGCAAGCGACGCCGCCGTGGCTGCTCAAAAGCCCACCGCTGTCGGCACTCCTAAAGAATAGTGTCGTTCCCGTGGAAGATGGTGTCGTCCCCGACGTTGTCGTCCGTATCATCGAGACCTTGATCCAACGACGTGTGTTGTCCCATTATATAATCCTTCTGCTCGTTCCCTATTCTGTCTTAAAATCCAAACTCTTCTTCGTCGTGGTAGTGCAAAGACGTCGACTTGAACACGCGCACCGACACTTCCTCGCCGCATTCAACGAGATGGCTGCCCGGTGCTGCGTGCTGGTGGGCGTGACGTCCGCCGAAGTCAAAGTCTTCGCTGCCTGTAAAACTCCCCACGACGCTCATCTCGCTCATGCTGCTTCGGACGAAGCTACCGCCACCGACGCTCACGTAGCTCCCGCTGGTCATGCTCACATTGTCGTCTTCGTCATCGTCGTCGCCACTCTCGCTGTCGCCGTTCTCCTGCGCTTCATACGCCTTCATGTGGGTCTGGGCAAGCGCAAACGCTTCCGAGTTGCCCGAGAACGTCGGGTCGGCATGCTTCCAGTACAAATACAGCGGCCCGATGAATCGGAACGACCTGCGCAATAAATATGGATCGAACGGGAAAAAGCACATGGACGTGGACGACGCGCCATTCGGGTGGCTTCGCTCGAGCGTCTTGGCCGACGTTTGTTTCATGCCTTCCCACAAGCTTTCAATCGCGTCATCCGACACAAGCCCGAGCAGCTCGGCGACGTTCATAAACTCGGACGCGACGGCGGCGTGGAAGGCCGCGTGCCGCATCGGGTGGATCGCGCTCGTGAGGACGCGAGTCCACCCGAGGGATCGAACAAACGTGTAGCCGGCTTCCGTGCCGCACAGTTCGAGCCCACGAAAGCACACGATGTAGCATGCAGACTGGATCAAGTCGACGACGCATTTATCAACAGTGGGCGGCACCGAGAACACCGCGATGGGCGTCGTCGCGGTGGTTTCTTCCAGCACATCGATTTGACCGTGGATGTATCGCATGACGTGAAACAGCGTGTGCTTGACTGCGTTCATGCTCAGGTATTTGGCTCGCGCCACGTACGATGCCAGGTACGACGAGCAACTGAGCCGCGTCACGGGGGGAACTTTCGCGTCGAGCGCGACCGAGATGAGCTGGGACAAGAGGAGCTCCTGGTGCTCAGTTGGTTGTTTGCACACGTAAAACAAGAGGAATTGCGGGTACTTGGACCGGTGCGTGTTGAGGATGCTCTGGTCAAACGACTTGAGCAAAAAGGAAAAGAGCCGCGGGTGGTCGTGCGCTTCCAAGTATGTGAATGTGGCGAGCATAAGGTGGTCCAACTTGTCTGCCATCTCGTCCACACCCTTCATGTTCTCCGGGTCCACGCACGTGTCGTCGTCGAGGAAATCGTCCATCGTGAACACATCTTCCTCCGCCGTATCGAGCTTGATCTCGACGTCGATCGCTACGAGCTTCTCCACAACAAGACCAAGCACGCGCTCTTGCAAGCCCTGGCATACCACACAAACCACTGTGAAGAAGCAAGTGGTTGAACGAAGGCCAGCTCACGCAACAAGCGGTCGACGCACGGGACTGCCGGTGTGGACAGAGCCCGGCAGGCCGTGACAGTGCTGTCACGAGCTGTCACGACCTGACCGAGCAGCCCGCGCATGCTGCTCTCGAAGACGACGGCTAGGAACATTTGAATTACCTTGGCGTACGTGGTGAGCTGAAACAAGTTGTTTAAGTACGAGAGCTGGATCGGCGTCTCGAGGCGCTTGTGGGGATAATAGTCGCAGAGGCAGTGAAACACGTGGTGGATGGACGCGGGTACGAGCTGCAGCACCTTTTCGAAAGCGACGTGCACCGCTGCAAACCGCTGCTGCAGTACCACTTCAAACTCAGCGTTCAGGTCGGCTTCGGATGGGCCGGCATGGATGGCGGGAATGCTGACGCGGCGAGAGAGCGTGGATTTAATTTGCACCGCCAATGGCGAGACGGACACAGGTGCGGGGCGGGGCACACGTTGCAGGTTTCGCACGAGCATGTGGATCGTGGGTTGGAGGAACGACGTGTGCGCTGTGACCAAGTGCGTGATGAGGCGGATGTACGCTTCAATGACAGGCATCGTCGTAAGAAAGTCGAATGTGTAGATGCGGTGCACGAGTTCGTGGTAGGCATCCATGTCTTTAGTCAACGTGGAGATGCATCGGGGCAGGACGAGATAGAGTTGCCTACGTTCTTCGTCGTCGCTAGTTCTCTGCGATGCCACACTCAATGCTCATCCAAACAACTACTCTGTCACAGGACGACGCACCTCCATTTTGGATAGCAGCACATTGTACGTGACAGGGTTACCCTGAAGTCATCACACGCCATTAGACATGGTAGCTGAAGCTGGGTGGAGACTGTGTGTAGTCTACCTTGAGCTTGTAGTCCAATGCTGTCTGCACAAGGGAGTACATGCCTGCAAGAACATCTTCATCGGCTGTGGCCGGCGCCGGCGGTGGAATCGATGTCGATTGCGGCGCCATCGCAGTGTCCATGGCAGGGACGCTGTTCATGTGTGGATTGGGTGGAAAGCGCGCATATCCGGATAACCTTCAGCGGAACGTTCGGATAACTCACAGGTTTTTTATAGCACACTTTTCATACAAACTTCAAGTTCGACGTATAAATTATATTGCTCCAAGGACGAAACATGTCAACATGACATATACGACGGGATAAAATAGGGATAGATATCAGAGCTAGTCGCTGGCTTCCTTGGCCGCCTTCTTGGCCTTCTTGGCCTCCTTTCGGGCCTTCTTTCGCTGTCGTGCCGCTTCCTCTTCTTCAACTTCGCTGACCGTTTGAGACGACGTATTCTCATTGGTGTCATCGGATGATCCAGAGGCTCCAACAGCGTCTCCTAGGATTGCGGCCATCGCCTTGGCATCGTACGCGGTGGCGTTCTTGTTGTTGATACGCTTGGCATACAAGATCCTTCGACTGATCGAGGTTTTCTTGTTTTCCTTCTTGCTTTCCTTTTTTGCCTTCTTCTCCTTCTTGGCTGGCTTGCACGAGTCTGCTGTCGTAGCAGCAGTGCCGTACGATTTGTTCAACGCAGCCAAAACGTCGGCAAAGTTTGAGCTCGTCGAGCTCCACCCCGTGACTTCGGCTTGCTTGAGACTGCAGCCGATACCTAGACCTTCCGTACGCTTGACAATCGTGACGTGGGTCGCTTGACCTTGGAGATCCTTGCCGACACCTTGGCCAGCCTTCCACCCCATCTTCTCGAGCATCTTGTATCCGAACTTGGACGTGTCCGACGCCCATGCTTTGTTCTGCAACCCGCCAAGTTTGACCATCACATGCTCATCATCGGCGATTGCGGCGGCCATCGCAGGTCCAGGAATGTCCTGTTCCCCTGTCTCCACCAGGTACCATACACAACGAGGGCCAATCAAATGCCGATCTCAACCTACCCGACCAATCAAATCGTTCGACTACTTTTTCTCACTCCACCAACCACTGCCGCATTCCTTCAACATGACGAGTTCCATCGCCGCGTCCGACTTATTTCCTGTGATCCATGCGTTCTTGACGACTTGTGGCATGAAGAAGACCGCGAAGGCGTTGGCCCAAGAAGCTAATAAGGTATTCAGGACGACCTGTGGTTCATGCGGGGAAGCTCACACTTGACATCGTCAGGAGTTCACCGCATCGAACAACGTCGACTTGCTCGAAGTGTACAAGCACTACGTCGCGACGAAACCCCAAAGCTCCAGAAGCAAAGCAAAAGAAGAATCATCATCAGACTCTTCTGACGAGGACTCTTCCGACGACGACGATGTCAAGAAACCGGCACTCGCCGCGAAAAAGGTTGTTGTCCCGGCAAAGAAGGCCGCATCGTCATCTTCCTCTGATACGTCGGACGATTCGTCCTCCGAAGATGACAAACCTCCTGCGAAAAAGGCGCCTGTTGTCACTGTCAAGAAAGTCGTTGCCACCAAGAAGGACGAATCTTCTTCGTCCGACTCGTCGTCGGATGACTCTTCCGAAGACGAAAAACCAGCGGCGAAGAAGGCTGGTGTTGCGGTGAAAAAGCCCGTGGTTGCCGCCAAGAAGGTCGTGGTAAAGAAGGACGATTCGTCGTCTTCCTCTGATACGTCGGAGGATTCGTACTCCGAAGATGACAAACCTGCTGCGAAGAAGGCACGTGCTGTTGCTGCCAAGAAGACGGTCGTTGCGACCAAGAGGGACGATACGTCCTCGTCTGACTCCTCTTCGGATGAATCTTCGGAGGACGAAAAGCCAACGGCGAAGAAGGCTGCTGTTGTGGCGAAGAAGGTTGTGGCCAAGAAGGACGATTCGTCGTCGTCGGACTCGTCGTCGGATGACTCGTCCGAAGATGAAAAACCAGTAACGAAGAAGGCTGCTGTCACTGCCAAGAAGCCTGCAGTCGTCGCCAAGAAGGTTGTGTCGAAGAAGGCCGAGTCTTCTTCCGATTCCTCGTCGGGGGAGTCCTCCACCGACGACTCGTCGGAAGATGAAGCCCCTGCCAAGCGAAAGCTGCCTGCGTCCAAGTCGACCCCTTCCAAGAAGCAAAAGGTAGAAAGCAGCAGCAGTAGCAGCAGTGGCTCGAGCAGCTCGTCGTCGGAATCGGACTCGGACGAATCGGACAACGAAGACGAAGTTGCCAAGGAAAAGGCTCGTCGTTTGGAAGCTGCAGCGGCTGCAGCGGCGTGGACGCCCAAAAAGATCGAAGCTCCCAAGATGGTAGCAGAGAGTCTACATATCATGCACCATTCATCATCATGTTGTAGCCTGCTGCCGATCAAGCTCAAAAAGGAGTGCCCTTTAAGCGTGTCGATGGCGAATTTTGGAGCACGCAAATTGTTGATGAAACCCTTCGTGACAACAGCTGTGAGTGTTCAGGATACTTTGTGAGATTGACTTCATTCTGAACGTAGATGCCGCCACTTTCGGGAATGACGGTGTGGGTAGCAAGGCCAACAATATCCTGGTCAAAGTCCGAGGGAAAGACTTTACTCGGGAAAAGAACAAGAAGAAGCGGTCGACGTATTTGTGTGGTGCCATCGATTTGGGGTCCAACTCGTTCAAGTACACTGACTAAATCCCTACGAAGCTATATAAATAGACTCAATGTTTTATGCAAACCTGTACTTGGATGCTGGTTCGATTTATGGATCGACCATGTCAGTCTTCTTCCGGCGTCGTGATGGCTTGGGCAGTGAGCTTCGCTGCTGATTCAATTGTACGCCTTGATGCTGCAGTTTGACTGTTGCTCGTGCACTCCGCTCTCTGGCAAGCAGTTGTTCGTGTGCTCCTTGGGCTTGACGAAGTTGCGACGCCAAAGTTCTCTTCTTTTTCTCCATATCCATCAAAATCATTTTGGTCTCTTGAATTTCTTGCTTGGCTTCTTGCAACGCCTTGTTGCCGTTGTCAAACTGGTTTTGCAGCTCATTGCACACGACATGACGCTCTTCATCAATCAACTTTTCCAACGCGTGGTGCAGAACTTGTTTTTCAAGCGACTTCTCCATAGTGTCCTTGAATTCTGACCATTGCTTCAATTCTTGTTTATGCAGTTGTTGGACATAATCGTGGCGCTGTATCCACATGCCCTTCTCCTTCAACTTGGCTTGGAGTTTTGTGTTCACTTCGTCTCGTTTTTCCAGCGCATTGTCTCGTTCCTGTTGGACATCGAGAAGTTTGCTATGCATCGAGTAGTACGCAGCTGCAAGTTGGCTCTTTTGGGTAGCAATACATCGACGCTTTCGTCGCAAGGCCTCAATTTCACGCTGTAGGTTTATTGTGATGGTACGATGCCTTTGGTCCTTAGTACTCCTGTGCTCGTTAAAGTCATGTCGAACCAGTGTATGAGTCATGGCGATGCAGAGGTCCACGAGGCTCGCCGCATCTACCCTACTTCGATGTTACTGTACCTCACTGCTACTCCATGCGTATCCACTGCCATCCCGCCTGATGGCTCCAATACTTCCTCCATCGACCGGCGCCTCTCGACCTTTCTTCGCGCGCAAATTTGAAAATGACATGTTTGAGGGAAAAGATATATTTTGTAATAACCTATCCTGGCATTATATTTCGGCATTTTTAACCAATCAGCGTACGAAATAATATTTCCACTGGCCTCAACTTCCTCATCATCACAGCCGCCATTCTCGACGCCATGACCGCCGCCTTCGTGCGCGTGGCTCCCAGAAACATCGTCACCCTGAAACGAGGCATATATTCAACGATGGTGATGCAACTAGATGCGCAATTGGTATTGGCCTGCGCGCGACACGTAGCGCACCCACTTGGTCGTTTGGTATGAGCTCTTCTCGAACACTTTGAGGAATCGGACGTGGAGTCCCGACGACGTGAACATGGGGACTTGGAATTCCACCTGGATGGGCGGACGTGACCACACCTTTTCCTTCGTGCCCTTGAGCATCTCAATCTCGGCGTCGAGCATGCGTTCGAGGGTCCCTTGGAACTTTCGAATTTTCCACACGATCGCGTGGTGCTCCGGCGCGTGTTTCGCCCTACGATCGCAATCGTGAGGTCCGTGCGTTTTCCATCAGCTTCGATGGCGTTCAAACACGACGTACGTTCCGATGGGGACAATGATCTTGCAACGTGCCGTGTTCTGGGGCACAGGTATCTTGATCACGAGGTTCGTGGCAAACAATCGAGCGCTGAACGTCGCCGCAATCTAATCCAACGGTCAATTCACCGCACGTTGACATGGAACGCAACAACCTTGAGCGACACGGCCATGCGCGTGGAGCTGCCTTCCTGATACGCTGGCATGATCTTAAATGGCAAGTTGATGTTTTCCGTGACACGGTATCTGCAGGACGACATGATTATAACATGTGCGACGCATTGAAGCATGTCATGATGCATACTTCATCAATTCGAATTCTCCATCGGGCGGGATGAAAGTAATCGTGCGGTCCGCATCAAACTTGCCGAGGCGGACACAGCGATGGAACGTGCAGTCGTCGATCTAGACACGCGCTCTGTGAACATGGTAACGCAATCGAGTCGTCGCGTGGTACCTCGACTTCCTTTTGCGTTCGCTTCTGGCCTGGCGCTTTCGCGGCGCCTTCACCCTTGAGCATTGTCAGCTTGTCGTTTAACCCGAGCTACAACGCAAACAAGTCATGTCCGATGACTGGCGCGAGACGAGTGGATGATGTCCACACCTTGCATTCTGGCATGCCCGTGAGTAGCGTCTTCATTACGACTTGGCCGACCACTTCGTTTCGAAGCACCGCTCCGTTGGCAGACATGAGCAAGTTGACGCTCTCGAATACGTCCAAGTACACTTCGTTGCGCTTGTACTTGATTCCTTCTCGGCGCCTTTGTCGAAACGTGAAAAATCCACAGCATGCGTTTGAGGTCGTCGCTTACCAGTCGATCGCACCGGTGATTTGCGACGTCAGTTGACCGGGTTGCGCCGTCGATGCAGCAGCTTCCGCCTATTCGTACCCCCACAAGCATCAAGAATGACCATGGAAGGAAGATCGAAGGGAGAATTGACGTACCGACAAGGAACCCAGATTGATATACATCTTGAGCACTTCCGACGAGCAGTTTTGCGGGTAACCGTAATCCATCGTTTCTGCATGTGCGAAAAAGGCGGCGTGAGGACATGGCGCACGTCCACGGAGGAGATATCGCCGCACCGTCGAGGAGCTCGTACACCAGTGTGAAGTTGTTTCGAATGCTCTCCTACTCAACGAAATGTGACCATGGAGATTCCATCACCCCATGCAAGGTTTCGTCTACCTCGTTGTACTTCTTTCCCATGTAGTCTTGGAAGATGCCGTTGATGTTGGTAAGGAATTGAAACACCAGTGCTGCCCACATCCACAAGTTCCATGAGTGCAGATCAATATGAGCGCATAGGCATGGTCTTAGTACCCGTGTTGATGTTCGCGCGGGAGACGGCGACAAGGTAGAGGTTTTCATGGCGCGTGTACAGGAACGAGCATCCGTCAATGCTCTTGATAGGGGGCAAAGATCCCGTTTCTTTGGCTGCAATCACTTGGAGCCGGAACGCATCCGCAGCGCGTCGACTGACGTCGTCTCTGTACAGGCGGTTCAGCACCACTTCTCCCTTCTGGGAGATCAAGAAGAGCCCGCTGATCATCGCGTCGGTCGTCACGGGGAGCGAAAATGGAAGGTGGGAAGATTGCTCGCTGGTCCAAATCCGAAACCGCTCCAATGTTTCACTTGGATTTTGTATGAAACACATTGCCCGATCTTCCGCTTCGCTTCCGGATAATATCTGAAACCGTCCATCATCACCTTCCCATGGTCACCTGCATGCGCGGCCACTGCCGTCAGGTCAGCGGGCGGAATGAACAGTGCCAAGAGCGTCGAGCGAGGCTAGGGCAACATGGACGTTTTGGTTGCCAGCGTGCTCGTTATGCGGCGAGCGCCGTTGGGAAGACTGAGCATGCTGTGGAGGCGAGGCGGAGCGTGCGTTCGAGCCATCGTAGGTCGTGCGGGTGCCATATACCATCAATACATTCGATTTTACACAAGCAACGTACGATGGGGTAGTACGCAAGTTGTGGAGGAAGTCGAGACTAAATGAGGTGTGGAGTATGCAAGGCGGACACACAAGGCGTTCCGAGTAATTGCTGTGTCGGTGGGTACTGTGGCGATAAACGCTGCGACGACGGGGTTTGACTCACGGCTGGGTCCAAATACGCCATGACGGCATGGTGCTGCTGCATCGGGTCGAGTCGCCTCCGTTTAAGTCTGCGACTCATGTCGGGCGACGGCGCAAGGTGCTTCAACGTCGACGGCTGGGACGCGGCTGGTGCCGAACTTCTTCGGTGGCCAGTGGCTACACACGCCATCATCATGTGCGGGAGCTCGTCGTCGTCGTCTCCGTCGTCGTCATCCGACCTCGTGTTGTTGTTGTTGGGGGCATTTTGGCCATCCATTTTGTCGTTTTCATCGTCCGAATGGTCAAGGAGGTGATCGAGTGCATTGTTGTCGTGGTTGTGAAGATGTTGGCGGTGATGCTGTTGCAAAAGGTGTCGGTAGATGGCGTCTTGGTGGTATGCGAGGGCAGTGGGGTCGTGCAGCACTCCCCACTGCAAATGATGCTGCTGTTGTTGCTGGTGCGCCATCATGAACGACGGCGGTATGGTCACATGCGACGGAAGGCCGCCGTGGTGATGAAAGGGAAGGGGGTGACGAGGGAGATGTCTTGGCCCCGACAGGTATTGCAGCCCTGCTTTGGACGACCTCGATTGCTTCTGTAGGTACTTTTGTGCGTGCGTGCGAATCTGAACGAGCGTCCGTGTAACAACAAGGTTCGAAATGCTCTTCCACGACTTGCCATACCGCCGAAGCCCTTCCAGGAATAGCTCGTGCTCCTGTTTCGTCCACCGGCCCGTCGTTTGGGGTTCCCCCGATGACATCGCGAGCTCATCCGGTCCATGGGCGTCGTCGTCATCCTCGTCGTCGGCCATGCCCGAGTCGTCGCTGCTGCTCGAGCTCGGTCGTCGTTCAGGGCGGCTGGGGTAGCTGTCAAGCGTGGGCGACACGCCAGAGATGGTGGGTGCCTTCTCGGAAGACAAAGGAGACCCCGCCGACAGATCCTTGCCCTGCAAGATGGGCAAGACCATGTCCGATTGCACCGGGACGATCTGCTTGGATGGACTCAGGAATGCATCTCGGATGTCGGCGCCGAGTTCGACCTGAAAAGCGTCCAGCGCAGGACAGAAGTACCACATCGAGTCGGCCCCTTCGCTTGTCGAGTCCTGTCGGCTGTGGCCGGCCAGTGGTGTCCCTAGCGGATCGCACATGGGACTACTGTCCCCGACAGGCGCCAACATGTGCAGTCGGGGTGACAGGCAGAACGGCAATGACGCTCGTGCAAATGACCCAAGCAGATGGAGGGCCCGGCTGCGATCTTATCAACTGAATGTGAATGCCCGCCATCCATCATGGCGGCATGCTGCTTTGACACGCACACATGGAGCTCGTCATCGGTATATTTAGAATGGTATTTACAGCACAATGTCCGTGCAATTCGGGCGACCATCTGGCGGTGTCAACTCTTCACGCTGTCGAACGCGCTACGCCGCCATGGACAGGTCGCTGTCGTTGGCCGTGCTGTTGCTGGCAAAGTCAAACACCCCGCTGGCTTGTGCAATCGCCCAAAATTCGACAGGGTCCATCACGCGCACTTCCTCGATTTTGGCTTGGAGCATGCGCTTGAACGTTGCGACCTTTACATGGACGGCCATGAGCTGCGCCGTGAGTTGCGCTTTATGTGCCAAGTTGTCGTCTAGCTCGAGCTTGGTCACGAACACGTTTTCGCTCGCGCCGACCAGATTCCTACAACGACGCACGAGCCGTCAGTCTCGTCGGCATCTCGTGATGGCTGGATTGCAATGCAAAGTGGGGTTGCTCCGACCGCTTCAACGAGTACGTTTCATGGACGACTTCGTTTGCCCGGGCCCACACGGCCGCTCGATTTGCGCGCACGTCCTCCATCTTCTTCTCGTACCCCATCCGCCTTCGTTTGAGTTGCTTGTGCGAGACTTCCATGACGGCAATTTGCCGCTGCAAAAAGAACTTGCGCTCGCGCATGTCGAGCTTCAAGTCGAGTTTCCCGCGCAGAGACGCCCTGTACTTGTCTCGCGCGGCCAGCGTTCGGTTGGCTCGCCTATGCGATGGATATGATGAGTCCGAGCCGGCACTTGCAAGGACAGCACGGGAGAGACTGCGCTCGCTACGTACTCGATGGCAGCGACACGGCGTCCTTGATTGCCCCGGTAGACTTTTTGCATCTTGATCGCGGCTGCGGTCGCCTCGGCAAAGTACCGCCGCCGGTAACACCGCGCCAAGAACCCACGCACAAATTTTTGCACGAAAATGGCAGCCAGGAGCCGCTGCCTTGCAATCCATCTCGCGCGCGCAACTTGCCGGCCGCGGTGACCTCGATACACGCTAATCTCTCACAAATACGTCAATCAATGTCTCTGTCGTCGCAAGCTCTTTCATGGCAACCACAGCCATGGTCGAAACGCTGGGCATACCGTTGCATGTCCTGGGTGGCAGCCACTAGCCGCGCCTTGGCTCGTTTCGCTAACACTCTAGCGAGCCATCCTTTCACGTAGCGCTGAATGCAGAGCTTGGCTTGCCGCGTGCGCCACGCGTGGATGCTTGTCATGCGCATGCGTTGAAGGACGGGTCGAATCCACCTTTGGACTCGGATGGCCGCTCCCCGCCGGAGGAAGCGTCGACGGACAAAGAATTCCGCCGCGTTCTGACCTTTGCGCGCGAACTTGGCCCGCTGGATCTTGCGAAAGAGGGTCGCCCGTCGGCGACCGAGGTGGCCTCGATACACTCGCTGGATCAATTCGGCCGCAGCTATCAAGCATAAACGAATGGCTGTGAGGCGCCCAAGCCATCGATCCAGCTACGCTTTTCATGGTGTACTGACCCCATCGCCTCGCATGGAGAGCTCGCAAGATCATGATGTGCATGTCTCGAATGGACAAGTATGTTCGAAACCGGCGCTGTGCTGCAATAATGCACTTGCGGGTGTGGAGGTAGGCGCGGCGGTGCCAGTTGCGCCGCACCCACGCTTGGATGCGGATCGTGGCGCCGACGACATGCGTCTTGTAATGGCGGAACCACCGCCTCGTCCTGTACCCCCTGTAAACGGTTTGAATGCGAAGGCTGCTCGCATGGCAGCGTGCACGGTGACACGCGACCTTGGCCTTGGCAAGCACCATTCGCATCACCGATTGAATGCGTGTGGCGTTCGCAATGACCGCCTTCACAAGGTTCCGCAGCCGTTCGCGGCGTGAGTACGACCGATACACGCGTTGAATGCGGCGCACATGGGCTGAAATCACACGGGCGCTGCACATGCATGCAGCATCAGTACTTGGGGACCGTCCAATTCCACATATCGAATCATGATTACCGCTGGTGAAACTCGTAGCGGGCGAAGCATCGCCGCGCCCAGGCCACGAGTCGAATACCGGCGGCGTCGCGACGCGCCTGCACCATCTCCATGACAACAACGCGGCCGCGATAGCCACGGTAGACTCGTTGAATGTCGCGCGCGTGGGTGTGTCGCCGGTACAGGTGACGCTTGGCCGCGCGCTGAATGATATTTGCACTCGACGTCGCCAACGCTTTCCACGAACGCGACGCGATGCGGGACTTGTTGCCGCGGTACACTGCTTGGACGTGTACGATCACTTTAACGTTGCGGCCCAGCGACAACATGCGGAGGAACGCAAGCCACTACAAGCCACGCGAGTGTGAGCCCTTGATCAACTACTCGTTTGAGGACACGTACTTGGTGGTGGCAGCGATAACATCGCTGAATCTTGGTGGCAGCGCGCCGTTGCCGTCGCAGCTTTCGTCGGGCCATGACTCGGAACGACGCATCGCGCTGCTTCCACTTACGCGCACACGCTTGCAGTGTACAAGCAGCCATGTACTGCTCCACCAAGTGCTCGTATATGGCAATCCATGCAGGCGACTGCGGCTCCAGCACTTGGGCGTCTGGACACAGCTGCGGACGGCAAAACGGGAGCTTGAGAGCGCTGTCGCGGAGGCAGCCTGTCGTGAGGCGGTCGCATCCTGCATCATGTAAGGTCAAGGTTGGTACACATGCGCGCAGTACCTTTGACAACGACATGGCGGAGGCGGTGGCACCCCGCAACGAGAGCTGACAGCCCGTCGTCGTCGATTTGACAGTCGCCAGTCAAGTCCAACGTCTCGATGGGGGACTTGGTCGCCGCGAGCGCCACCAAACTCTTGTTGGTAAGGTTTGAGATCCATGCCAGGGACAACACGCGCAGATTAAACAACCCGCTCGCGATCGCTTCGATGGCTACATCGGTCAAGTGTCGGCACTACAGGCAAGCACGTCTGAGCTTGCGACGCAGTCACGTAAGCTGTCGGGAGATGGAGGTACACGCACTTTGGACAAATGCAGCGTATGAAGCGCGGGGCAGTGTGCCGAGAGCGCCAAAACTGCAACGTCATCGACCGGTGTGTCAGTCAGCGTGATCTTTTCCAAGTTGGAGCATGTCGCGGCGATAGCTGCGATGCCGAGTGTCGTCACTCGTGGGGCGCCCGCCAAGTCCAGTACGGTCAAGTGGCGACATAACTTGCTCAGCGCTCGCAACCCATGGTCGCCGACGTCTGGTCTACCGTAGAACGCAGGATTCCTGCAGCCTAGACGCGTCGACGTCAGGGGCAGTTGCAAACTCGACAGCCCAACGCACCGGAGACTTTGAGCGACCTCAAGATGGTGCATCGCTTCGCGAGGGCTGTGAGGCCGATGTCCGTCACGTGCGGCACCCCACGCAGGTTGAGGACCTCAAGGTCGAGGCACGCTTGAGCCAACTCGGCCATCGCTGTGTCGTCGACTCGGACGCAGTTTTTCAGGTTGAGATATGTCAACAGGGACGAGTCAACGTCGCTGTCGTCGCGCTGCTTCCTGGTTGTGGCTGACAAAGGTGCTCCTTGGGGCTGGACGAGATCCCGAAGCCCTACACCACCACATTGAATCATGAGCCGCGCTGTCCAACGCCGAATGAAGCGGACCTGCAGACGTCACGTGGGCGCATCCCTTTAGACTGAGCCACAAGAGTTTCCGACACCGACCAAGCAGGGCAAGACAAAAGTCGTTGAGTTTATGGCAGTGCGCCAGGTTGAGCTTGGTCAGAGTAGCGCTGCAACCTGTCGTGAGCCAACTGATAGCCGTCTCGTCAATGTCCAACGCCACCATGTCGAGCGTGTCAAGATGGGCGAGGGACCGCGACGCTTCAAATGAAAAGAACGCCATCGTTTTCACGTGAGGGCAGTGGCCAAGACCAAGGTACGTCAGCTCCAAGTCTACCGCGACGTCAGCGATGAACCGACGCATCAGCATGGATGGCTCAGAACGTAGCAACCTTGTTTGGAATGTGCCAGGTCGCCGACGCCAGAGTCAGTCACGTGGCGGCACCGCTGAACATCCACGACTTGAACTTGGAATTCGGGGGCGCGTTTGGTTGTCGCAATGCAGAGCAAGACGCGATCGGTCACACCCGGGCAGTTCCGCGCATAAAGGCGACGCAACCTTGTGCAGTCTGTCCAGGTCGCGACAAGCGCATCGCTGCTAAAGTTACGGCAATCGTTGATGTAAAGCGCCGACAACTGGCTCAACGAGCGGCGGATGACATGCAGGGACACGTCCGTGAGCAAGTCGCACCTAAACCACGGTGCGTGAGCTGTTGGCATCCGCGCCCTGCAAATACCCAGATATGTCGAGGATTTGAACGAATTTGAGGTTCCCAATATGTTTTATCGCTCCGTCGTTGACGATGGAGTCTGCGACAGTTAGGTTAGATGTGTAGTTGCTGTTGTCGCGGACGGACGTACGCCGAAGATGAAGCGAATCACACACGGAAGGTTTGACAGGAACTCCTGTTGCAATCGGGATTTACGCGATGTGGACGGTCGATGGGGTGGATGTACCAGGAGGGATTGTGCGAGCCACAAGCGTTGGCATCCAGGCGTTCACGTCGAGTTCCGACAAGTTGACATGCGTGCATGGGTGCTTCCTCAAACAGTCCTAAACGGATTACCTCACCACGACAAGAACACCTGAGCACTTGCATACCTTAAATGACAGATGCGGCGGCGGAGACTCCGTCAATGCGACTGCACCACCTGCAAGATCCACGGCACGTCGCACCTGGATGTTGTTGTGATTGTAATGGGTACTTCCATGCAAGTGTGCTCACCTTGTCGCCGAACGCAACTGGGGCTCCAATGGTCAAATCCGTATCACGGAGGTGGCACAGATAATCCTTTCGTGCTTTTTGGCGCTGCACTAACCGCTCCATCCATGAAGCGAGAGTCTTGGCAGGCACACCCGTCGCCGCCTTTGTCCGCTTCGACTTCAGCGGCGGCGCCATGTTGTCAAGATCGCGACTTTTGAGACTTCAGCCAATCAATGGATTTGTCCCATTCTGGGGCAATTTGAAGGTACTGTATACACAAGTGGATGGGGCTCGAACTCACCTTCGAGGTCTGCGCACTTACGCATGTACCTCAATCGCTTCAGGTAGAGTAGGAGCACTGTGGATTAGTTGCTGGCCTCGCATGCTGCTTGAAGTGGTGGCCTTGCCGTCGTGATTATGGCCAAGGTTGTGCATGAAGGTTTGCCCCAGTTTGACCCTCACTCGATTTGGCGCCAACTTCAACGCTTCGAATTGTCACTTCTGCAATATCGTCGTGCGAGTGACGTGACCGCCGCGCCAAGCCCCATAATGGATATATGCCAGTGCCGACAAGTCCAAGTGCCTCCGTGCGGGGAGCTGAAGACGGGGGCATGCACCGATTGCAAGTATGTGTTGTCTTGTGGCTTGGAATCCGCACTTGGGAAGCTCCTCTTCGACATGGACCTTTCCCACGAGTCAAACTCGAATATCAACACAGAACAACACACACAGCCGCAACGAAAGAACGCGAAGAAAGTGCTTATGCGTGCCTTGGCTATGAAGCCACCCCATAGAAAGACCACCCCCAGTGGGGTGACAAGTGTTCCAATGGTTCTGCTTCGCGTACTCAGCATCATGCACTGATGTGCGTTCCCTCAAATTATGTTGCTAACGTTATATCACGTGCGAGTATTCTGCGACTCCCTGAACATTCGGTGATGTGAACTTTCTACGAGTCAGTCAGGTTTTCATGAATTTCTTGTTGGTAGGCGAAAAAAGTTCTATACTTTGACAGCAATACTCCCGCTCACTGCGGTAAGAAGCGCTCGAGAGCTGCAGCTTTAGCTCCAGGTACTTTATGTGATCTCCCCATCCATATTTTAGCAATGCTGATACAACACACACTAGATCGCCATCGTCCAATGTCAGGTCCACGAATCCTGGCGATATCTCCGAGCACAATGGAGGCTTAGTGTGGTCATTTGAATTCATCACGTGTCGCCACATCACAATGGATTCATGGAACTCCCTGGCGTCACGTCGCGGACTGACATTTTGCGCTCTGTCACCTCGACCTCCAAGTCGAGGTGTCCGATTAAAGACTGCGGTTTATTCGGATGTGTGTGTCGACGTCACTGCCCATTCTTCCAATTTCAAATCTTCGGAGTGGCCATGGCGCCGAAAGCTTCTGCCGCTGCCGCAGACAAGAAGGTCGACGACCGCATCCATATCCAGTACGACAAGACTGCGTTTGAGCCGCATTTGAAGCTCTACCAACAAGGATTTGCTGAGTACTACCCGCAATTCACCGTGACGGCGGAGGAATATCCTCCGTCGCCGCTCTGTTATTGCCTCTCCATGGGCATCTTTGTCTTCCAGATTGTCATGACCGTCGTCTTCATCTTTGGCACCATGGCTGTAAATCGCTTCAAAATCGATGTCCACCCCGACCACATCAAGTACTTCGAAGAGCACAAATTCATGATTGTCCCTGTCATGCTCGTGTTGTCCCCGATTCGGCATTTGATCTCCAAGACAAGTGCATTCGAAGTCTACCTTAACGGTACGTGCGCGCGACACACACACTTTCCCCAGCGCCTGGACGTGCCGTCCACTTTCCGACTTGAACGACTCTGCATTTATGCTTGTAGACGAGTTGGTGTCGTCCACGTTGACCTCCCGTTTCATGCCCAACTTTGAGGTACCTCGCGAGTTTATCCGTGTGCACGACCATGCGCTCATAAGGGCTGTTTATGCAGGGGTTCAAGCAAATATTAGACAAGAAGGGCATCAAGAAGACGATTGTTGCCAACTAGACGTCGCATGGCCGTTGTTCCTCACACATCTCGGCCGCATTCAAACCCATTGCTACGTATTGGCTTTCTGTATAATGCCACACGTAGACTTCCGCCTTCCTCGCTTCTTCCATGGCCTCAGTGTCGCGATGCCGTCCTCTATTCTCGGGTCCATGGCAAATATTCTGCAGTGTTGGCATATATTTCCAAACGATGAAAAAATGTCGAAAAATTGAGGAATCGTTCCAACCGATTGTAACCGCCGCATTCGCCATTTTCCTCCATCGGCAAGATATGGCGCGTCAATGGATACACGTGGTGGTGGCGATGGCGGCCACAGCTTCGGGGGCCATGGCAGTGAGCCCCTTCACCTACGCTGAAGAATGCATCCTGCGACAGAAACAAAGCGATTCCATCGAGAGCCTCACGCGGCAGCTTCAAGGACGAAGTCGGTTTGAAATTTTACGCAAGTGCATCGACCTCGGACTTCAGTGCGGCGACGCGGCCAAACGAGAACTGACGAGTCGACGAGATTTGTAAGGATTTTTTATACCACGCACGACGTGGTCGTTCTATTTAGTCGGCGATGGATTAATCCCTTTGGCATGGAGCAGTTCATGCAGCTTCTATAATCAATGACGAACAGGACGACGGTGAGTATGCATGACTCGTAAAGTGTCTTGTACCTCAGCGGTTAAAGGCACCCTCGTTTCCAACGCCGAGTACACCAGTGCATCTACGATCGAGCATGAGACAACACAAGGGTGCGATGAGCGACTGGAGTGCGCTACCGTTCAAGTAAACTTCAAACGCGCCCGAGTTAGCAAGCAGTTGGCGAACAGGTGACAGCATGATGATGCCAGGGATAAGGTAATATCGGTTCTTGCGCAGGGCCTCGAGCCAACGTTCCTCGACGGGAATATTGTATCGCTTCACCAAGTCTTCGGCGAACGTGACTAAAATCGCCAATGTGAATTGGACGATGTAGAGAAAGTAGATCCATTGCTGCTTTTTGCCGCGTAGGGGGTATGCTTTGCCGCTGCACTGAACGTTGGGAAAGTCATGCTTTACCGTCGTCGCTATCTGCTTGTATGCTGTAGTATAGGCCACTTTGTCGTACTCCACGCGAATCGTGGCACAGTCCTTTGACTTCTTGTGGACCGCCCGATCGCCATGGCGCTTCTTGGTCGACATGAGGCTCAACCAATTGTCCGGATAACAGCGCCTCGATATCCGAATTTTTGTTTTTACAGGCTTGCGTATTCGGATTGATTATCCGGTGTATTGACCAGGTTGCCACGACTGCGATCAGAACTCGATTCGTACCGCAGCCGACAGCCATGTCCACCAAGAAGAAGTCCAAATCGAACTCGTCCTCGGTCCCGGCTCCTAATAAAGCCGATAATGGACCGTCCATTCGCATTGTGTACGACGTGGAAGCGTACACGAAGCATTACAACCACATGGCAGCAACCTTGACCAGAGTGTTCCCGACGCTCCGATGCTTTGGACAAAAAGCGACCCCAACGTTAAAAGGCATGCTGCTCGCGTTCTCCATTTTGGTCTTGCAAGGCCTCCTTGCACTGAGCGTGTTCTATGGTGAAGCTTTCCTCTTGGACCACTTTGGCATCGCGCTCGAATTTCACGTGTCGCAATTCATCAAGGACTACCAAATGATGATTCTCCTTCCAATTGCGTTCATCACGCCGATCATGCAATACGTCGCGCGCAATGGCAAGTATGAAGTTTACTACAACGGTACGACCATCTTCCTTCAAGCGTGATACTGATCGCGCGTGAATTATAGAGGTCCTGATCCACTCCAAGCACGACACGAACCAACTGCCTTCCGTTGCGGTATGTCAGCATGAGATGCACCCTGTTGTCCTCATGAATCGATGATGCGTAGTACGTGAAGGACTTATTGGTGAAGAAGGGGTTGAAGGCCAAGGACGAGTAGATTGTATTGCCCGTCTTCCTCTCCCTTCTTGGTATTTCGTGATATAGAGTGAGCATTTGGAGCATCTTCCTCAAAATCCTGGTGGGATTTGGCACGCACTGCGACATATACCTGCATTATGACCTTATTGCATGTCGAATCGATACAGATTCACGAAGCCGAGTGTCGCCGACCTCGGGTTTCTCGATTTCGTCGTGGCGGCGGTGCGTCTACAAGGCATTACATCAGTGAGGGCGGCACCAATGACATGGTCACGTACATTAAGGGATGGCTCGACTCGAGTACTTGCCTTCAACATCTTGGAATGCGAGTGGAACCGACCGTGGTGTCCTGCGTGTTTCGCATCGTTCAGCACTTCTTGCCAAACTCCACCGTCGGCATGGTTGACAACTAAATTTGGCGGAGAATCGTTGGTGTCTTGGTTGTCATTCAAGAAGGGTCGCCCAGGGATATCCCCCTTTGTGTGGGATGCCATGGTATCCAGCACAGAATGGATCCGCCTGTTCGGAAACTCTATGTGTGATGGATGCGGTATATAGTGTTGAGACGATGGCTGTGGGGACGGTGTCGCGCCTTGTACTGAGTTACTTGGCACAGCAACGTGATGGCCTGGACTTGGTAATGGTGGCATTGGCGTCGAAGGAGCGACCGGCAAGGTACTTGACACACCGTTGGCAATAGTGTCTTCCAGGTCGTGAACTGTATGACGAAGGTTCACAACGACAGCTTTGAGCTTCACAATGTGCTTGACAGCGCGATTAAAATCATCACGGAGACCTGAATTTGATTGAACCAAGTTTTGCAAGGTCTGCGATGGAACAACTTGGTGAGCTGAAGTGGATGGGAATAGTTCGGAACTACCTCATGCAACTGGCGAATCTCAGTCTCTTGACGCTCCCGCGCCTGGCGCTCCACATGCAGTTGCGCGTAAAGCTAATGAAGTGAAGCGGGCTGGGCTTGTTTAGAGTGTGACAGGAAGTTGACGTACGTCGTGTATCAGGCCGACCACGTCAGAGTCGATGGTCGACGAGGGAGGCGCTGGTGCCGGGGCTGACGAAGCAAGGATGCTATCGTCTTGGAGATGAATCGTCGTATCGGTCAGGTCAATCGCGTTGTTGTCTGGGCTCATTGATTCGTTGGAGTCTCGGCTGATTGGTTCCATGACGCCACTGATATCATCTGCCTGCTGTTCGAGCGACGCCAACATGACGTCCATTCGGTCAAGTTCGTTCTGAAGACGTTGCTTTTGTTTCTCGGCCGCAGTGATTGTTGTGGACGAAGTCGAGTTCGCGGCAAAAGCTCGGAGTTCATCGTCAAAGTTCACGCGTGGAATGGCAGGACCAGATGGCCTGCCTTGATTTGCCGTGGTGTGTGCTCGGGGCTCGGGCATTTTTCGAGAAGGCTGAAGCACAGATGTGTTGTGTTGTTTCGATTTTCCATGGGGAACTGAAGGTTGATGTCGCGGTGCAGGAATTTCGGTCGGGATCTTTGTGAGCAATTGAATGCGTTTTTGGAGGCGTTGGTCTTGGTTCAGCTGGTATGTTGACGAATCCGTCAAGTACTCATTCCATTGCGGTCGAATCCTTGGGCGCGATGATGGTGGCTTGGGAGCTGTAGACGTCCGTGGCGCCGACTGCGCCTTGGCCGCGGACCGCTTTTGCATTGCCTTCCTTGTTCGCGAGATTTTTTGGTTGAAATTCAAATTTGCAATAAAAGCATCCGGTAATTATCCGTACATTTCGTCATGATGCCCAGAGGAAACATGCTAATGTCGTAAGGTCGACACTTGCGCGATTGAATGGACGACTAAGTCAATGCATGCATGCAATGGGTTAGCCCGCGCGGGTGGGCGCGACGTCATCATGTTCTCCTGTGTTTGAGCTCGCTGTGGAGGCTATGTGGTTTAAACGGTATGGGGGCAATCGGGTTGAGGACGTTGAAAGGTCGTACTACAACGAACATTCCATGGTATAGGGAGTTGTGTGTTGATGAGTCTTTGCTGCCGCGGTGCTCATCTATATCTATTCTACGGCCAAGCGCTCTTCCAAGTACTTAACGGTCTTCTCCGACAGCACGAGCAGGTCTTTGTGCAAGATTGCATACACGTTGATGTTTTGCTGGCGGATGATGTCGACCGTTGGGAGGTTGCGGGTGGCCAAGACAAAGTTGCGGTCGGCTTCTTCGCCGTCGACAAAGAGGGCGTGGTCCCAACCCTTGCTGGTCAACAGAGCCTTCATGGTCTTGGTCTTTTCCGACTGTATCATCCCGACGTGCCATGAATCACATTGTCAACGTGACCACCACCAAACATACCTCTGGGTTCAAGTCGCGAACGATCGCAAGTTTACCTTCAGCCAACTTGGTCGACAAAGCAACACGCAACCCCATCGCACGCACTGAGGAAATTCACATCAACGGTTGCCACTTGAGGAATGCATGCGTAAATACCTTTCTTGGGCAGGCTGTACGAATGGTCGCGGACGACTGGACCATGGGCGCGGTAACCACCTCGCCATTGAGGAGGGCTAGAGAAAACATGTGAACGTGCGTAGTGCGGCCACCTCCCTTGAGATCATCCAAACGAACCGAATGTTGCCGACACGAGCGCGGCCGCTACCCTTTTGCTTCCACGCCTTCTTCGTGGAGCCACTGACTTCCGAGCGGGTCTTTGTCTTGTGGTTACCCGATCGGCGATTGGCCAATTGCCACTTGACAACACGGTGCAAGATGTCCTTGCGCACGGGGCACCCAAATACACTGCGCAGGCAACAACATGAACACAATCATGCAATGTACTTTGTGCATGCATGACGCCTCTTACTTGCGGTTCAGGGTCATGGTATCGACGACAGAGCCATCCGCAAAGGACAACACCTTGGCCTGGATGTTGCCACTTTTGTCGAACACAACTGGTTCGCGCGAGATGACGCGAAGTTCACGCACAGGCTTCACAGGCGCCAAGTAAAGGTTGGCAGGAAGCGCTGTAGACGCGGAGAAATTACGAGCGATGATCCCCGTCGACGGAGCACTCACGCGCAAGGCTTGGAACGCGCGAAGGAGCGACATGTTGATGCAAGTCAAGGTGTACACTTGCTTGGATGGAGGCAAGGCGTTTGCACCAGCCATGACAGACAGACATCCGTACGTAAGTACGTACGGATGCTGTACGATGTACCAGTTTTTCCCTTAGAAGCATAGTACATCACATACATTACGATAGGATGTACTCTTACAGTCCTGTCCAAAATATATATTCGATGTTCTCTGATATCAAAAATATCCGTTCTAGATTCGATATATGGCATTTGCGACAAGGAAGCAATAACGTAAATTAACAATGCGCAGGGCTTAGTTGGCACCGGGGAATTCGACTTGGGGGTCAAAGAATTTGGGCTGGACCTTCTTGCGCGTCGAACGGCGCACGGTTTGGAAGCCATCTTCGTCGACGAGGGGCTCGTCGGTCGTGTCCATGTCCTGGTTTTCATCAAGCTGATGGGCTTGTCGCAGCAAGGCTGCTTCTTCTCGGAGTTTGGCTTTCTTTAGATCAATCGCAAACGATGTGGTTTGGAATTGCTCCTCAAGCACGCGGACGCGGGAAAAGTCACCCTGTTTGCATTCATGAGCCAGCGTGATCAACAATTTGGAGATTTCGTCGACACTGCCGTCTTCGCACACGAGCGCAAACTCGCTTTCAATGTACTCTTCAATGCCAGCGGCCAAGTCGTCAAAATCGACCGATTTTTGATACTTGAACCAGTTGAGCACGTCCTCGAGCAGGATCTCGTACTTGCGGCGCATGTCGCCGCCGCCCCATTCGCCTTCCATGGCCATGCGCAAGGCAGTCCATCGAGCCAACGTCAACTTAACGCTGAACTCAAAATACTCCCATTGATTGCCCGGGGTCTTCGTGTGGGCTGCCACGACCGTGTTCAAGATGTTGGACATGGGCAGAATCGGAATTGCCATCCGACAACACCAGTCGATTGGTCGCTTGTGATTGGTGCGTTTCGATCGAGACCTTTTTGGGGGTACCCCCCCTCAGAGTTCATCCAGGACGTATCTGCCCCCCCCCACGTAATGCTCGAATCGCCTGTCTCTGGGTGTGTATCCATCATCAACTAGGGAAAAACGCGTAAATCCCAAGTTGTAGATCCGGTATAAGGGTATTATTGAACACATGCCTTCCAAATACCGGGTAGAGAGCAAATATCGGGTTTCAAGGTATGCGACAGTGTTACTGTGCTATAAAACAATTGCATGGATTAGATTTTTCAAGCGTTTGGCGTGGATTTTAATTTGATGCAAAGGGTTGGGATTTACTGGTGAAAAATTATACCAAGACCTGTGCCACACCTACTGAACATTTTCTGACAGAGGAAACACGTCGACAGCAATCGCGATGCAGCGACCTGAAGTTCTCGATACACCGGCGGCCTTTAGCACTGGACCGGCAATGACACCGGTTGCGCTGCAGCAGAACCCGCTGGAGAGCGAAGGATTGTTGGTCGACAAGGATAAAAACTCGGCCGACATGAAGGCTGACTTAGAGGCTGGTGTCGACGACGTCGACCTAGACAGCACCAAAAGCTCGAGCAAGAGCGACGCAGATCTCATCGGCGATGGCAAGAACGATCCTTCCAAAGAAGACAAAAGGGAAAAGTACTCGGGGAGCCGATGTGCGTCCCGCGCGTTTGCCACCGTTGGTGTGCTTTTGTTTGTTGGGGCTGCTGCCTTTGGTGTGTTCTATTTCAAGGACGACATCGAGAAGCTTCTCAATAGGCAATCTCTTGGGTCTGCAGCGACTCGGTCGAGCGAAACAAATGGCACTGACGTCCTCGCGAACTCTAGCGCATTCAGCCTCGACACATACCCACCTAACGTGACATTGACACCGATATTTCAACCCAGCGAACTCACGCCGACATTGACACCAGAAATGGTCGAGATGACCACACCTGAGCCTTCCATAACGTCCTCCCCTGCGGCCACCGAGCCTGTGACCTCCGAGCCGTCCGCGACGTCAGCCCCGACGACGGCCTCTCATGTCACATCTACCGACACCACATCCCCTTCAGCTACCTCGCCAAATGTGCTGGATACCCCGACCCCCGCTCCAACCGTCCCCAAGAATGACAATGCTGGCAACACCACCAACGCGACGACTCCCGCCGCAGTCGCATTAACTGACACGACTGAAGCTATGAACACAAGTTTTGCGCCGAACACAACTTACCTCTCGACACCTGCGATGACATCTCGATCTACTTTTCGCGCAGCGCCTACGCCATCCACAACCCCCGAGCCTACCTCGACCACGTTGGAACCGATGACAGACTCGCCAGAGTTCTCGACGAATGCCACAGCCTTCCCGAAACAACTCGTGACGGAAAATGCGACGAATACCACGTCGGGAAGGTTTGATATTGATGCGTTGTGGGAAAACCTCGAACAACCGTCCGTCACAACCTCGGCCGCAATCAACACGGTCGAGGCCCTGTCGACCCCCTCTGTTGCTGACAACGAGCAACGTGGTTCCCTTACCTCTGGAGACACTGCAGCATTTCCGTAGACTGCAGAGCTTATCTTATTCGTTGAAACCTGCATGAGGTATCCATCGCAGATCTTTTCGTTCACCATGAACGGTGTTGGTTGAAGCACGTTATCTGCATCCTCAAGTAGATGGACGAGACAACAACCCCACTGATTTTTCTTACAGATCGCTACGGAGGACCTCGTGCGCTTGGTAATCATCGGTTCAAACAACGACGATTCTCGAAAATCTCGTCCACCAACAGCACAGCTCAGACGGCATGAAAAGCGTCAGCTTAAACGAGGACGGTTGTCGGGGTCGACGTCGACGCGGTCCAATCAAATTCCCTTGCAGAGCTTCCTTCACTGGCCCTCAGCTCCACTCGCATCCGCGTAGGAAACCCTCGCACGCTCGATCTCGTCGCATTATCTCGACCCACAACAAAACTGAAGCCAACGATGTTCGACTTGATAAACCCATAAGATTCTTCCTCACCGGACCATAATAAACTGAAGTCTAATTTTCCGGATTTACGGATAACATCTGCCCATCATGAATTTTGTCATTTTTCAAATTCAATCCACGGAGGACATCATGGCGAGCGCTGCCCCTTCCTCGACCCACGCGCCGTACCTTAAGGTGTCCAATGCACCCCCTGTTTACCAGAGCAAAGACGAGCTTCAAGCGTACTTTGGCAAGTTTGGGGGGTGCTTCGTCGCCGAAACGCTGATTGAGGCACACCACCAGCTCATCGAAGAATATGTGAAAGCCACCCAAGATCCATCGTTTCGCCTTGAATTGGAGCAACTCGGTCGCGACTACATTGGCCGCCCAACCCCGTTGTACTTTGCACGACGATTGACGGAGCATGCAGGTGGTGCCGATATCTACCTCAAACGTGAAGACCTCGCCCACACTGGTGCGCACAAAATCAACAACGCTCTCGGTCAAGCTGTCCTTGCCAAGCGTCTCGGCAAAAACCGTATCATTGCCGAAACTGGCGCGGGACAACACGGTGTTGCTACTGCAACTGCATGTGCCTTGATGGGCATGGACTGCACAGTCTACATGGGATACGAAGACACACAGGTACTTCCTCTACGAACTGCAAGAAGATATCGTCACTTCCCATGACGCATAATATCTAGCGCCAATCTCTCAACGTCTTTCGTATGAAGATGCTCGGCGCGAAGGTCGTGGCCGTGAAATCTGGATCGCAAACGCTCAAGGATGCCGTGAACGAAGCCCTGCGAGACTGGGTAACCAACGTCGACACCACGCATTACATCATTGGGTCGGCAATCGGACCCCACCCGTTTCCGACCATTGTGCGGGACTTCCAGGCCATCATTGGCAATGAAATCAAGGCGCAGGTAAACGAACCTGACAAATTTAAGCAAAAGCTCACTCGCGAGTTGCAGCTTGAGGAAGAAATCGGCCGTCTCCCCGATGCCATTGTTGCGTGCGTTGGCGGCGGGAGTAACGCGATCGGGATGTTCCATCCGTTCATCAAGGACAACTCGGTCGACATCTTCGGTGTGGAAGCCGGCGGCGATGGTGTCGAGACTGGTCGGCATTCGTCGACCCTGGTCGGTGGCCGCATCGGCGTTTTGCATGGAACGAAGACTTACGTGATGCAAGACGCTGCCGGCCAAGTGATTGAAACGCACAGTGTGTCTGCAGGTCTCGACTATGCCGGGGTCGGTCCCGAGCACGCATTCTTGAAGGATTCTGGTCGTGCCAAGTACGTAAGCGTGACGGACGCGCAGGCGCTGGAAGGGTTCAAGCTCCTGTGCCGCGTTGAAGGCATCATTCCTGCACTTGAGTCGTCGCACGCGATCCACTTTGGCGTGGAGCTGGCCAAGGAACTTGGCCCGGGGAAAACCATCGTGATCAACGTGAGCGGTCGTGGCGACAAGGACATGATCCAGGTCGCAAAGGTCCTCGGCGTCAACCTGGACGAAGACTTGACCGATTCGACCCCTTAAGTTCTCAAACACGACGTCGTGTTGACGGGTGGAGTCGTCTGCATGCGCGTGGATTCAAATAACGTCCGTGTGTGGACGATCCATGCGTTGACGCGCTGAACGGCGCCACTCTCGCTTGATTCCCCGCAGGTCATGGAAGGCTCCAAAGCAAGAGTTGCGAACTTGGAGTGGTGCCACTGGCACACTACACCGGCATGTACTGAATGAGTTGACGTCCTCGACAGTGGCGGCGCGAGGAAGAAGGAGGGGGGTCTCGAGGCCGACAAGGGAGTCGTCGAATGGTATCGCAAGCGGGAGTGCCATTGAAACATGCGTGCAGTAAAGTTCCCTGTGGTGGGGCAGCGCGGTGCACCTCGGCCGCCCGTGAATGTGCTCACGTGAGGCGTTCAGCGGAAATGGCCACTGCACGCGCCTGGATTGGTACAACGCAACAACTCCAGCGGCGTGACTATGAAACCATTCAAATCATGACTATATTACATGCCTACCCGGTTCTAGATTCGACACCAGTTGCGTCGACGCGGGTCCTTTCGAAACCACTCATGGAAGATGGTGCGACGTGGTGGTGACGGCATTAGGCGCTGACTGGTCCAAGAGAAACTGGCGCTGCGAGGATGGCCGGCGTATCATGTGGGTGGCGTCGGTGGGGGAGACGGGGGCGTCTGGAATGGGGTCGTACTGCCGGCGAATGTCGCTTTGGGATTTGGACTCGGCATTGTCTGGGCCAGAGGAACCACAGAGAAGAAATAGCAGCGCGTACAGGAGAAAGATCTCGACCAAATGCTTCGTCATGAGGAAAAGCCACCACGACATGGAGTCGTTTGAGGGCGATGCCGCCGTGATTCCCATCAAGAGCTGGTACATGTGGTAGCCCATGTACGAGGCAAAGCACGCGTTTGCAACGAGAAACGTGGCGCAGAGCACCCCCGTGCGGGTGACCGTTTGAATTCGCCCCGTCGTTTCGATTTGACTCACTTCAAAGAACGCAATGAGCACCGTGCGCATGCGACAGCAGTAGATTCCGACGAAGACGGCGCAGATCGTCGACAACAACGAGATCGCAATATCATTGTACATGAGCAAGAGGAGCGAGTCGATGCGATCGAGAACGAAGAGCACAAAACCAGTCGACACGTACAGAAAGAGAAACACGAAGAGCGACAGGAATACGCGCATTGGATGCGACTCGGCGTATGCGTGGGGGTCAAATGCCCTAGACAAAATCATGAGGCACGTGCATGTTGTTTGAAGAGAGTCGCACCGTCGAAGGATGTCCGCCCAAAATACCACCATGAGGATGAAGATCGAGTAGAGGAAGAACGTCCCGAGCATTTCCGCCACCTCGGACAGAAACAGCATCGTCCAGCCGTCGTCAAAGATGTGCAAGCGCTGAGGAACATAGCCCGACACATGGATGCTGTACGGGGTGGAAAACCACGCACCGCGGACGAGAGCTGCGAGACTCATAAGCAGGTAGAACCCAGTCGTGGCGACATCGCGTGAGGATGCACCGTTCATATGTGCGCACAATGCCCAGAGGCCCATCAACGTCGCAATGGCATAGCCAACTGCGAGCATCGTGTCGATCTCCTTGTAATGGAACTCCAAGTGGAACACAGGAGGCACTACCGCATCACATGCATGTGGGCATGACGTCGCACAGGACCTCCATGCACGTACCCATTGACGCATTCGACATGTTTGTGTGCCTTGCTCGGTCGTCCCACAGCAACAATAGCGCCGTGTCCGCTCAAAACTGGGAATAATTAATTATACACTTGTATCCGGATAAACCTTGCTCAATCTATATTGACTCGAGCATTCTTGCATCGACGGAGCAGTTGCCTTGATGGAGCCGCCAAGGATGGTGACACGTTGGCTGCTGTGGAAATGACGAGAGCGGCATGACGTCCGAGCGCTCCTAACGAAAACTTCCAGACTACAATAGGGCGGAAGAGTAGTGCAACGTGGTAAGAGCCTTTCACAGTGTGCAATGCAAGCCTCCTCTGCTGTCGAATACGGCTTGCAATTGCCAACATCAAA